GGAAATCTCTTCGATTTTCCTAAAAATAATTAGACCATCTTGGCAAATGACCATCCCCAGCACAAAAACAGAATCCCCAACAAGCCTGACTCCTAAATGATGCTGTGGCCCCTACAGACATCAAAGGAGGGGGAGAGCTTCTTCCTTTATCTAGGTGGGATGACTCTAGGAGTCTTTTCTGCCTGGTTCTTGCTCTGTTTTCTGAAAACCAGCCTTCTTATCTCCAACAGGCTTTGTCAAGAGTCAGGAAGGAGAAAATGAGGAAGGAAGCGATGGAGAGCTGGTGGTAAAGTTTGGCGAGACCCTTCCGAAGGTAATTCCAGAGCAAGGCGTTCTGCAGGGAGAGTTGTGCATGCAGCCGGCCAGCGTGCTGGCCAGGGGCACAGCTATACCAGGCCTGACCAGAGGGAGCGGGAGGCCCGCAGGCCCAGCGCAGAAGAGGCCGGACTCAGCCCTGCCTGCCCCACGAGCGAGTGCTCATTCAAGGCAGCTTACGTCACACTTCGACAGTGGTATCAGTGCCCCCGTATTCCCAAATGGCTTTCAGTTCCCCAAAGAGAACAGAGAAGGGATCTAGAGGTTGACTCATCTAACCACGTGATTTTGCAAAAAAGGAAGCTGAGGTATAGAGCTGAGAGAAGGTTGCTTATGGTCACGTGGCTGGAGGGACGGCCCCAGGACCAATCCCTGAGACTCCTCGTTCCCCTTGCTCACCTGTTTAGCACCAGCTTGAGGACCAAGTGAAGGGTACAGGGGCCGGCTGGCTCCTACCTGTGCACTATGAATGTAGGAAGTGTTGGACGTGGCCACGGTCCTGTGTGAGCAGAGGGGGATTGAAAACACACGGGCAAACCTTAGTGGGAACACAGTTGTCTTTACTGTAGGAAAGATGGTTTCCTACCCAAACTGCTTTTGTGATGCTAACTGGACAGCGGAGGTGACCGCCGTCATTGAATCCGAGCTAACGGGACACTCCAGATGTTCGTGCTACGCACACAGTGGAGTTAGACCCTGTTTCTTCCTCACATCGCATGGGAGGGGTCCAGAGAAGGGGAGTCCAGGGCCGGGTGGATCCATCACAGGACGGGTGGTCTCAGGGGCTCCCCTGGAAGGTTCCCTCAGAGGTGACACCCGAGGTGAGTTTTAAAGGACAGCCTTAAACAGGTGGAGGGAACCATCTGCTCCTGAGGCTGTGGTGGAACATAGGCAGGTTCCAGGGGACTGGGCTACTGTTTTAGTCCGTTTTGTGTTGCTATAACAAATACGTGAGACTGGATAACTTATAAGGAAAAGAGGTTTATTTGGCTTACCATTCTGGGACAGCTGCACCTGGCATGGGCCTCAGGCTGTTGCTACTCATGGCGGAAATGGCAGACAGCCAGTCGGTACAAACAGATCATATGGTAAGAGAGAGAGAGAGAGAGAGAGAGGAGGTGCCAGGGTCTTTTTAAGCGATGAGCTCTCGCGGGAACTAATAAGCGAGAACTCACTCATTAATCCCCCCTCCCCCAGGGAGAGCATGAATCCATTCATGAGGGATCCGCCCCCATGACTCAATCAGTTTCCACCACTGACACATTGGGGATCAAATTTCCACATGGGTTTTGGAGGGGACAACACATCCAAACTCCATCAGCTACCCATGCTGGCATTAACTGTTGATGGGACCAACTCTTGGCCACATAAGGCCATGTCGTCTCAGGGCAGAGGCAGATGCCTGAACTCCAGATTCTCCTGATTTGGGTGCAATTCCAGATTACTTAGATGCCTCATCCAGTTCAGATGGTTCTGATTAGGGTCCCCTGCTGAGGCCCCAGGACAGCTGTTATATAAGTCCCCATCCTGGGGCTGCCTTCAAGCCCCGAGTCCTAGGACCCTGGGCTCCAAGGAGATGTTTTTGCCTCACCCAGCCCGACCCCATCCTGCTGCTCCCACGCAGTACCTGGACGGTTGTTTCCTCCTTCAGTGAGGTTGGAAAAGATACCAGCGCCCCAGTCCCCCTGGTCCAGCTTAGGGACCTCTAGGCACCCTGCCTTCTCCCCCTGCCCACATCCCAACTGTGGTCAAGTCTTGCTGACCCTCTGTCCCACTGCCAAAACCTTTGGGGTCTAAACCTTTCCTATTTTCTTGCTGAGGGATCCCTGATGGATCTTTCTGGAATGGCTTCCGGTCCTTGCACCCCCTCTTTATCTGGTCGACTCCCTGTGCCAAGTGGTGCGAGCCCCCTGTGCTCTCTGGCCATATCCGCTGTCCCCACAGCACCTCGGGCCCTTCACTCCACTCGAGGCCTGGGTCTAACGTAGTGCCAGACATTGCCACATGTCAAAGCCGAGTGGCTGATGCAGCCATGGGACCCTGGAATGCCCCAGAGCCCCCACTGTGATTTCCAGTCATTTGTTCTGGAACTTTCTGAATGGAGACACAGTGAGTCCATCCTGTTGGTCAGCATGTTGCCAGAGTCCTGACCCAGGGTCCTTTTGGTATCTGTGGGAGGGAAGGAAGAGGACAGCCTAGAGCAGCATCTGACCTTTTTATCTGTCCCTTGTGTGTTGGAGGAACAGCCTCAAGTTGTGGAAAAGTCATCAGTTGTAGGCAGCACCAGGAGCTAGTGTGTGCTTGCTGGGACCCAGCCCTACCCTAGTGAGGTCTGAGGCTCAGTGGCTGCATTCAAGGCCTGGCATCAACACATCCCCGAGCCAGACCAGCAGAGCCTCCAGAGCTTTGAAAGACTGCTTGCAGCAGGAAGTCGGGGACAGAGCTGGAATATAGTCGTCTGTGCCTGTCGTTCATGGAGCCACACCTCCATCAACCCACAGGACACTCCAGGCCCAACTGGGGGGCTCTGCTATGGACAGACAGGAGGCATCCTCTCCAGAGGGGGGCCAGGCCTTGTAGTGCAGCCTCCCATGCCGCCGCATCTTGGGAGGGGGCCAAGAGAAGGACTGCACCCTGCTGGGGCAGGGTCTGGGGCAGAGTGGGGTGCAGGAATCATTCCAGACCTGGTTCCTGGACCCATTTCCATATCAGCCTGTCCCTCCCCCATGACCCTGGGATATGCAAAGGCCAGGCCCTTTCCCTGGGGCCTGGGAGCATAGCCCAACTTAGGAGGCCTAGAGTGCAGTGCGATGCTGAGGGACAGGGAAGAAAGTTAATTCCACCTTGCTGGGTATGGTGTACACATGGGTTCCTACCTGTTTGCTTGGGCATGGACAGCAGAGATCTGAATCTGCTTGATAAGAAAATCTTCAGTCCTGCTTTCTCGAGCATTCACCACATCTGGACTGGTGGCCCTCATCCACCTGTCCCCCACCTATCAATTCTAATCCTGTGCACTTCTCTCTGCAGCTGAAGCCCATTATCTCTGACCCTGAGTACTTGCTGGACCAGCACATCTTAATTAGCATTAAGTCCTCTGACAGTGACGAATCCTACGGTAAGAGTCCCAGGCCAGGCACCGCACCTGCCCGTTAGCCCATAGCCTCTGAAGTGAGGGAGGCGGTGGTATCTTCTTCAAGGAAAGCCCACTTGCCTCTCCCCATTCTATCCCCCTGCAGCTCTTGTCCCATCCCAGGGCTGCCAGAGGGCAGAGGGGCCCTTGCCAGTTAGTCATCCTTCCTGCCCTATCAGGCCTGGGACATCACGGCCAGCAGCTGCAGTGCCTCCAATTTATCGAGCCTTTCTTAGGTGTCTGACCTGCACCAGGCACATTGCGGGTATTATTTAAGACCTGCTAAGACCTTACGAAGCAGGGACTATTCTCCCAATTAGTAGATGAGTAAACAGAGGCTCAGAGAGATCCAGTGACTTGTCCAAGTCACACAGGTAGTCATTGGCTGAGCCCTACTTTGAACCCAGGCCTGCCCACACTGCTGCACTTCTCACACATCCCCAGCCAGCCTCCTCAGCCCACAGGTGCAGAGCTGTAGGCCCATCCTGCTGGGCAAGTCTCTAGAACACCTGCTCAGGCACAAAGGGGCTAGTTCTTTAGTCCCCCAGTGGACACCCTCTGCATGAGGACCATCTTCCTCCAGCCAGAGGGGTTTGGGTTCAAGTGTGGTAGGGTTCCCTGGATGGGGCTTGGGGTAATGGAAACATCTGCCCAATGCTCTCTGGTCTTCTGCTTGGCACTGCCCAGTACCCAGACTGGGCAGGCTTGTAGAGGCTGTGGCTCCACCAGCTGTCCCACCAGAGAGACACTAGCAATTTTTGTAATGTCTTCAGCCCATCCGTGGCTCCAGCCCAATGTCAGGCTCGTCCTTGCACTTGGTACAGTCAATGTGGCTAGAGCATAGGGTGAGAGGGGCAGGTGGCCAAAGAAGCTGGAGGCAGGAACCAGATCAAGCAGCTCCTTACAAGCCAGGCTAAGGACACGTACCTTATCCTGAGGGCAGTAGGGAACCATGGAAGTTCAAGCAAGACAGTAACAGGATCAGATTCGCATCTTAGAAATCTGTGTTTGCAGTGATTGAGGTAAAAGACAAGGAAGCCAGGATGAAAGTAGTGACAGTGAAAAGGGAGAGAAAGGGATAAAATTGAGAGGTATTGAGTAGGTAAATTGTTTGGTCATGGAGACTGGAGAAAGGGGGAGTCAGGGATGACCCTGCACTCCAGTTGGAGCAGCTGAGCTAATGTTTCCTTTTCCTGCATAGTCAGTTGTAGTGCAGCAGGCGAAGGGGGACGAAGAAGGCACAGCCAGAGTGGTAGGAGGGAAACTGAAAGGCTGTGGTGTTGGGGACACCATCAGAAGAGAGGTGGATCAAGAAGAGGGTGTGGTTATGATAGCAAATGTGGCCAAGAGATGCCACAAAATAAAGACTGAGCAGTGTCCCTTAGACAGAGTGACTCGGAGCCCATCCATGGACTTGGTGAGAGCAGTGTCCACGGTGGGGCAGGGAGCGATGGCAGTGACAGGGTGGGCGGGGGTGAGGAGCAGGAGAATGAGAGTCTGGGCCGAGGGAGGGGACACATTTACGTCCTTGTGTGCTTTAAGCTCAAGGGATCTGAACGTGCCTGACTGCTGCTCGGTGGAAGCTGGTAACGAGAGGGGCTCTAGATACAGGTTGACCCTGTGCGAGGGTCATCTGTGCAGGCTCTGCCAAGCCCTGAGTGTCATACTGTCTCTCCCCTCATTGGAGAGGTGAGCAAAGGAAGCTTGGAAACCTGAATTGACTTGTCCTGGTCACACAGCTACTGTTGTAGGTAACCACAGGAGCTTGAACTTGAACCAGGCAGCCTGGCTCCAGAATCTGTGCCCTTCACCCCCTCCCAGTGCAGCATTGATAAGAGGGTCCCTGAGCCAAGCCAGGGGCAGGAAGAGCCTGAGGAGTGTGCTGGCCCTCGGTGGGGATCTCCTAGTCTGCAGTGACAGGGGCAGGAGGATCCATGTGGAATCTGGAATGTTTGAGGCTTTTGTGGCAGGAATCAGGCAGTACACTAAGCAGATACTTCCACTGTCTTCAAGCACGGTAGTCCTCCGATGTGTTCTGCCCATGACATCCATACTCACGAAAAGCTTGTTGTTAAGTAAAGAGGAAAAAACCAGCAGTCTCATTCCCTAATATAGCAATCAGGTCTGTTTAGGTTTCACGTTTCCATCCTCACCCATAGGCATACATAGATTCTCATATTATGATCGTCACAGAGATACTACTTTATATTCTGCTTTGCTCATCTGGTATTGGATAATACACACTTTCGTGTTCCTTCTACACAGTCTTTCTGATTGTTCCTTTTAATGGCTGCATAATATTCCACAGATTTACTGAATCTTCATCTTAAAGTATCTCCTTGTTACTATTATTTCTGTTAGTGTTATCAATAACACTGAGATGAATCTGTTTGTGGACATTTTTTATTCTTCAGCTGTATTTTTTGTTCTTTGGGGTTATCTCCACAGGATCAGTTCCCATGTTTGCTGGGTCAGAGGATATAAACATGTTCGTGATCCTTGGCACTTGTTTATCAAACTGCCGTAAAGGCTGTCTCAGTTGACCTTGCCATGTCCAAGTGTACAGGTTTCCCCAGATCCTTGCTGGCACTGGGTATTATTTTCCTTCCTTCTCTTTTGTGCTAATTTCATGTCTACGAAAGAGCACCTTAGAGCTTCCTTAATTTGCATCTTTGATGGCTAGGAAGGCTGAACTATTTTCCATTTATTGAAATTAACCAGGTACAGTTCTTTTTGTGTGAAACATCTGTTTGCATTATTTGCCCATTTATCTGCTGGGGATTGATTTTTGAGGAATTCCTCATATAGTTAGATCAAGTACGCCTTGTCTGTGCACCTGCCTGCAGATGCTGTTCCCAGTCCGTTTCCTTTATATCTTAGTTGTTTTCTTTGTGAGGAGGTTTTAAACTTGTGTATCCTCTTACCTGCCAGTCTCATTTTGTCATTTCTTGCATCGATTCACACCTTGGGAAGTTATCATCCCCTGCTGCAGTTGGATTGGTATTTCTGGTTTTCTGCTGGATTTTCTACAATTTATGTATTCTTTTTACATTGAGTAACCTAAGTGGGGTTCATTCTGCTGTAGGGCTTGAGACATTTGCCCCAAATTGCTGAGGCATTGTTCTAAGGGGTTTACTAAACAATCCTTGCCTGGGCCATCATTTGGTGGTAGAGCTGAATCTGCAGGCGAATCTCGGTGTTTCTGCAGGAAGCAGAGGGCCTTGACTGGCTGTCCTCCCCTCCCCCCAGGCGAGGGCTGCATTGCTCTCCGGTTGGAGGCCACGGAAACTCAGATGCCCATCTACACGCCTCTCACCCACCATGGAGAGATGACGGGCCACTTCCAGGGGGAGATTAAGCTGCAGACCTCCCAAGGCAAGACGAGGGAGAAGCTCTATGGTAAGCGAGCCCCTCCCGGCCCCTGCATCGGCCCAGCTGGCTAGGGATGTGGTTGCTCTCCGCCAAGCTGGTGAATATTCTCTCCTCTGTGGCCTTGGAACAGAAATCCTGCATTGGAAAGGATCTCAGAGACAATGGGGCCCGGCCCTGACCTGGTTCAAGAATTTCCCAACAGAACCCCAACACCCAGCAGCCATTGCTCTTCCTGACCCCAGTCAACTTCCACTTTTAAGGGCATGAAGCTCGTGAAATTTCCAAGCCCCCAATCTCACCTTTTAGCAGTCTTTAGGCCTTGTCACTACCTGTTAGCACTTCTGCCACAAAAAGTACCAAGAGTACAAAATAAACCCACCTGATATTAAATAGCTTCTTCCAGGCTACTGTGGGAAGAGACTTAAGCTATGGCTTCTGTTGAGATTTAGAATTTCCTCTGTGATCCCGGCTCTTTCACGTGTCATATGGTGCCCACTCATATATACAAACACACCCTCATATGCACCTAGAGCCTTCCCTCGGGGTATCCACCCTGGACTTCCACACTTTCCACATTGCTCTCTTCCACCGTGTACATCTGGAAGCCCCCACCCTCGTCCTTAGCACATTTCTGGCTCCTTCCTCCACCTCCAGCCACCCTCCTAAATGGCAGTGTCCGCTAGTCTTCTCTGCCCCAGCTGATTGCAGCTCTCAAAAATGAGGCCAAAGCAGCCATGCTTGGTAACAAATACTCATCATAGGTGGTTCCTATTCCACATGAAACAGCAACCTGGGGAGTCATACCCTACCTGTCCCCAGACCCTGCTGATTCATATCTTAGATAAAAGTTGTCACCACTCTGTTATGAGAATATGGAAATGTGGCCAAGAGACCTGAATAACGTAGCGGGAACACCAGGGAGTGTCTATATTTGAATTTGTAATTTTCTCTTAATCCTGCCCCCAAATTTGAAACTTGGAAATTAACTTACACTTCCCAATAGTATCCATCACATTAGAACTTCTCTACTTGAAATAATAAAAGATGTGAGAGGTAGAGAGCTGCCCAAAATTTGTTAATCAAATAGGTGTCCCTTTTTACACAGGCACAGCTGGTTTTTCCCTTCTCTTCTTTGCTTTAATTCCTGCTCAAAAGCATTCAAATAACAATGCCTACAATGAATTGGACTTTGTATACTTGATGGTGTACGGAATGATCATCTCATGCGTGTCATCTCCTTTATCTCTGGCAACAGCCCCGTGAACCAAGTATAATTATCTTTGGTAGATGGGGAAACTGAGGCATAGAGGGTTACGTGATTATCTGATAGGCACATACCTAGTAAGTAGCTAGGCCAAGGTGAAAGTGCAGGTTCATCCAGTGGGAAACTGGAATTCATAAACAGGATGATTTCCTTCCTCTGATGTGAATAGCAAGAGTGCAGGATTCACTGCGGAGGGGAGGAACTGCAGCCCCACACCCCCGCACCCCCACACCCCCACACCGAGGAAGGCTGTGTCCCTCCCTGGTGCTGCTTCCTGTGGATGTGGCTCCCCCTTCTGCCCTGTGGGAGCTCCTTTCTCCAGCAGGACAGTGGGTTGGGGTGATGGGGACAGGGCATCTCTGCAACCACAAGTCAGGGTCAGAAACGAAGATGGGGGTCCCAGCTCCCCTTTCAGCCATGAACAGGTTGGCTTTGAGTACCAAATGCTGTTATGAAGCCACCCTGTTGTGTTTGTTTTTTTCTAATCTGATGAGAAATATTTGCCTGTTTTGTCGCTTACTCAGACCAATGAGTTGGAAACGTCACACAAAATGACGGCTGTGAGTCACACGTGCCAACTCTGCTCCCTCTGGAGCTATGGCAGGCATAACCAATCAATCCCTGAATTCTTATGAGGCCTCAGAATCTTGCTTAACACACCTCCGCTGGTTAGCCATTACTCACTGTTCACCTCTGGCCTGTACGTGGAAACCACTTTGCCATCCCAGGCCCAAACCCTGGGGGCTGAGCCCTCACTTGCTCTTTCCTTCCAGACTTTGTGAAGACTGAGCGGGATGAGCCCAGCGGGCTGAAGTCCCTGAAGAGCCTCACCAGCCATGACTCCATGAAGCAGTGGGAACCAGCCAGCAGGTAGAGCGCGGGGGTTGCCAGGGATTCGTTACAAACTAGTATGGTCTGCAGACCCAGGACCCAGGAGAGGTAAACTGGAGCTTGGAGAAACTAAGCAAGGAAGCCTCGGCCTAGAGGACATGCTCTCCTGCCTTCAGCTCCGCAGGTCTTCGCTGACCACAAACCATGTCCCTGGGGAGGTTGGCGTGACTGGGACAGAGCCTGGGAGACTCTTCTGTGTTGGAAAGTTCAGTACAGCTCAACTAACATTTGCTGAGCACCTATAGGTTCTGGAGAAACCAAGACCAATTGGGTGTAGCCCTGACTTAGAAACTCACTGCCTAGTAGAAGGATGTGCTGTCCAGGAAGAAATGACTGCTGAGATTGCGTAGTGATTCCAAGTCAACGAATGGTTGCTGTGTCTCCTATGGAACCAGGGACATCAGCAGTTGTGGGGTGTGTGGCCCACAAACCCCATCCTGTTACCTACGGGAAAAGTCATTGGGGGAAAATGCATGCAGGTTGTTCTTGGCAGAGACAGAATGAGAATAATCTAGACATTAAAGTCTATATTACTAGGGGACAACCATCCCCAATAGCAGAGTCACCTCAACTTGCTGATGTGTTCTTGAGCTGGTGAATTCCAGAGTCAGACCAGAGCAGGTTCTGGTCTCTGCCGGCTCACCTGCCACAGCGGCGGGCATGGCTGGTTCCTTTTCTCCTTCAGTCCCACCCCGCCCCATGCAACAGGAACTCCCATCTCCAGCCCATTTCCTGGTCCACTTCTGACTTCTGATGTTCATAGCCATGGGCCCTAAAGTCCTCCCGTACTTCTCCTTCCATTGTTATCCCATCAGCAAACATGTCCTAGCTCTAAAGGGTACTTGGTTCCAGAACCAGGATCAGTGTAAGAAGACAAATGCTTTTCCATCTTGACTTGTACGTGTGTTCAAAGTAGCATTTATTTCTTAAGCAAGCATCAGCAGATGGGAGGGAGATGTGGCCGGCAGATCCTTACAACCTACATCCTCAGAACTCAGTTCATTCTCATGAGACGGCTGCCCGACATAGGCAGCGTGCAGTGTGTGTGATAGGGTCACCTCACCTGGGTCTGGGCCATCTCCACAGCTTTAAACTGCCTGCCCCCCCCATTCCACGTTCTAGCCTTGACCTCTGTGACCTCACACTCATCCCTCCAAACGCCATTATACCTCACACACAGACATGCAAGCCCACATGTCCCAGGTGGACCTGTCCAGAGTCTGCCCCGAAAATCCCCTCCCTACCAGCGCCCGCTCCGCCCCGCCAGCGCCACAGCTCTCGGCCCTGCTGACCTCTCATTCATTCTCCCATTGCCTACTGGCCTTCGGACTGGCTTGAGACAGGCCAAGCCCCTCGGGGCCTTTGTATTTACACTTACCTCTGCCACGACCTTCTCCCCTTCCTTCTCTCCGCCCTGCTTAGCTTCTTATCTCAGCTGAAAGACCACCTCCTCAAACAGGCCTTCTCTGCGCACCCTCTGCCCGGCTGGTGCCAACCCTCCTGCTGGTCTCGCTCTCCGCCTCTTGTTACTCTCCATCAAACTTCGGCACTGTATGAACACCACGTCTCTCTGTCACTGAGCTTGCTTTCGGTTTGTCTCTCCCATCAAACGAGCTCCACAAGAACACAGGCCTTCCTCCTGGCCCAGGGCCTGGTGCTTACTAGGCACTCAGTGACTATTGTGTTGCATGGATGGATGAGTGAATGAATGAGTGAATCCACTGCCCAAAGAGTAAAGGAGTTGAGGAGGGGACTGGGGGGCATCAGAGGACACTGTCCTTGAGCTGGTGCTGACCCCGAGAAGTGAAGAAGCCCTGAGATGTGACTCTGTCTTCCCTCCAGGGTCCCTCCCTGCAGTGGCTCTGGCATCACTGAAATCATCAACCCCAACTACATGGGGGTGGGGCCCTTTGGGCAGCCGATGCCCCTGCACATGAAGCAGACCCTGTCCCCTGACCAGCAGCCCACAGCCTGGAGCTATGACCAGCCACCGAAGGACTCTTCCCTGGGGCCTGGAAGGGGAGAGGGTCCCCCCACACCTCCCTCGCAGCCACCCATATCACCGAAGAAGTTCTCATCCTTGACAGCAAACTGGGGTCCCTGCCCTAGGACACAGGAGTCAAGGTGAGCGTCCTCTTCATTAAGACCTCTCCCTTCCCTCTTACAGGAGTCCCCTAGGTTTTTAGACCAGAATGGAAGCCTCTCGAGGGTAGGGATTTGTGTCTACTCTGCTCCCTACTTGTCCTTGGGACCTGGAGCACAGCAGGCATTCAAGACATGTTAGTGGCATCTCCCATGTCCTAACCTATTGGTGCAACCTGATTTAAAAAAAAAAAAAGTAGAAATTTTTAAAGATACTACCGAGAAAAGCAACCTCCTGTAAAAACTACATTTATTGAAAAATATGTCTCTAGAACCACTGAACCATGGGGTATCTCCAACTCCCTGGAGGACCCCGTGGGACAGGGGTGGGAGTTTCCATGTAGAAGCCCCTCCCAGCCCCAAGTTCCCCTCTCCTCAACCACAAAGGAGGGTCCCTGTTCCCACTGCAACTTTCTAGTCGCTCCTGTGGGGGACAATTAGTAAAAGAAGGAACTGGGACTGGGGACATTGAAAGGAGGTAGAAGAGCCAACCTGCAGAGGGCGAGTGGTTTGGCCATGAGATTTTGGGGAAGCCCAGGAGGGTAGAGGAAGTTGATCTGAGTCTATAACTAGTCCAGACTCAATGGGAGCTGGAAGGGAGCCAGAGAGGAGCCAGGCGGGCAGCCAAGGCATGAAGTCCGTGCTCCCAAAGCCACAGCCACTTGTGCGTGCTGCCTGCAACATAGTGAACCACGCATGCCCAGAGCAGAGCACTGCACCTCATGGAAACATGGCAGGGGAGCCCTGCACGTTTCTCGTCACCATAGGATGCCAGATGGACAGGAAAAGTGCAGACCCAATTAACAACGATTGAAGATGTGCGAAATGTCACGAGCATTGTCTACCCCAGGGGCTGTCTTTATTATTTCGTGATGACACCAGGGGCTCACTCTCAGCCTCTCGTCCCCTGATGCTGTTTGTTGTCTTGTCCTTCTTTTTTTCATGGGGACTTGAGTTCCTCACTGGTGCTGTCTGCACCTGGCTGTTAGGAGCCAGTGAAGGGGGCATTGTCCACCCCACTGTCCTCCTGAGGCTGCTGCCAGCTCCAGCCTTCCCATGCCTGGCCCAGCTGGGCTTTCCTCTGGGTGGAGGAGCAGTTGACAGTTTTGTTTCCCAAGTCTTTCCTCTAACAAATGGATCAGTAAGGGGAGGGAGGGAGGGTGGCAAGAAGGACAGGACAGGACAGGATAAGTACATAGGATCGCCCATGAGCTCAGCAGTGTCCATCTCCACCTCTGGTTTACAGGATTTGTTAATAGTCTAGTCTCTGGTCATTCCCTAAGAAACTTGGAGAAACAGCCTCAGTTTCCACCCCTGGGAAATGAGGACAAAAGCTACCATATGGTGGGTATCGAGGTGCTGTTTGGTAAGGGCCATCTCTTTGGTGACCCAGGGAAATGGAGCTGTAAGCAATCACAAAGAACAAGGAACTTAATCACTTAAGTGAATGTTTTTTAAGTTCCCAAAGTAAATGGATCTTTGTGCTAACAATTTGAACACAGCTTGGTGGGGAGCATATTCCCTCCAGACCCTCAGGTGACAGCTGCAGAATGGGGCATCTGCAGGCAACGGGTCCTCTGAGTGGCATTCTAAGCTCACTTCTCACCAAGGAGGTGATTAGAAGCGAGAACTCCGCAGCTCCCATGTCTGCCTGTAGCCCTCTCTGCTGCTCAGGTCCCCGGCTCAATCTGAGTGCAGGCTGTGGATAAGGAGGTGTCACCAGTGCCATCTGTGTCCTCCCACCATTGCCCTGGACCCAAGAGGGATGACCAAGCCATCCTGAGTTGCCCAGGGCTGTCCCAGTTTTAGCACTGAAAGCCCCATGTCCTGGGAAATCCTTTAATCCAACCCTTTAATCCTGGACAAAAAAGGATATCTGGCCACTCTGGACCACAGTCATGTGGTTAAGAAGAAAACTCTGGTCGGACCTTGGCCCACACCTGGATTCTTTAGAGAAGACAGAGAGTCACAGACTCCTGCATCTGAGAAGTGAGGTCATTTGCCACAGGAATTACTCTGTCCCCTGGATACTGGTTCATTTAATCAACAACCATAGCCCGGTAGGAGTCAACTTCTGGTTACCTTTGGCCAGGGGAGTTTGACTAATTTTTGAATAAGTAAGACTTATTTTCCCAGTCTCTTCCTGCCCAACCCAGCCTTCCCCTCTCTGCGGGTGACAGAAGCTGCCTCCCAGAGGGAAAATACTCTCGTCTCCATCTCCCTGCTCTTTTCCCAGAGGAGTGAGCTTTGGAGTCGCAAAAAATGCCTGCACCCAGGATTCTGTTCCTGGTCCTGCTCCAGGTCTCTGAGGGGAGTCCCCTCCTTTCCTTTCAGCCACTGAGAGTGGGCAGTCAGGTGTCAGGCTCTGAGTTTCATTTTCTCCTCTTTTTCTTGCTTCCTCATCTGAAAACTTCTGATCAAAACTCCTGTGCCCTCTTCCCTAGGCTGACTCAGAGCAGAGGTCTTTGGGGACCCGGATGGGTGCAGAAGGAGGCCTGGGGTGGAGGGGCGGCTTTCCAAAGTCTTTGTTCGAGGCCCCAACAATTCTAGTTATGCAACCGCTTCCAGTTCTTTCCAAAAACGAATGGGCAAGAATCCGGAGCCTACAGCAAGGTCCCCTCTGGCGAGGCCCTGAGGCCAGCTTTGCCGCACTGCACCTGTGGGGAGATGCCATCCGCCTTGTCCCCTGAGCCCACGCCTGCTCCCAAAAGGGGCTATTAGCTTTGGCTGTTGAGCACCTTCTGAGCAGTGTTTCAGCACACATTCCATCAGTAACAGGCATCACGGCTTGAACAGTTCAGTGGGCTCCAAGGGACTCACATTTTCCTCTTGACAGTTTCCTTTTTGCAGAAAGCAGAACCTGGAACACTCCCCTGGGAGATAATGCTGTTGGTCAGAAAGTAAAATGTTTTCCCATTTCTCATGCTCATAATTTGCTCAGCAGAAAATCACCTCAAGTAAAAGCAGTGATAAATCAGAAAACAACAAAAGTCAACTACATTGTATATCGATAAATTAAAAATTTTAAAAAACATCAGAAAACAAACAAAGGCAGCTCTCGCCTCCTTTGGTTACTACGTGGAGTTCTTTCTCCATCTGCGGGTCAAACAGGCCTGTGTTTTGCTACTGGTCTTTGTTTCCCCAACACCTACATCTGTCCAGGTTCCCTCTGATTTTCACCATGACCCCCATTAGTTCCTTCCCACTATGTTATGAGATGAAGAAACCACACTCACCAGGAGCACTCTAGGGAGAAGACTCTATATAGCTGGGAAGAATATTGTGCTAGTTGGGAATGTCGGCCCCCTGAACACAGATTTTGTTGTTGGGTTCATGGCTGCTTCACTGTGCCCAGGGCAATGTCTCACACATACCAACTTCCTATGTATTTGGTAGATGGAGCTTCTTGAGCTGAGACCTTCAAGTAGCGCAGATGGTCACTGAGGATGAGGTCTGATGGCTTGCAGAGCTTCTGTCTCCCTGAGAGGCCATGCAAGTGAGGGGTCAGAGCAGAATTGCTAGAGGTGGGGAAGAGGGTGGGGTGGGGTCTGTTAGCAATGAGGGGCAGGGGCTGTGCAGGGCAGGCTTATCGGATGAGGATAGGGGATTAGTATTGGGGGTGCCACGTAAGTTCACTCTTCTATTTCTCCTATAAATTCTCCAGTGAAGTCCCCCTTGCTCACTGATGCTCTGGTGTGAACAGTTTTTGTGGTGGAAAAGGTCTAAAGCCAGAACTGAGGTTGCCTGTTAGGACAACATATAAGTGACAGTACCATCTCCTCTTTTAAAAAAAAAAAAAATTTTTTTTTATTAAAGTGAAATTCACATAACATAAAATAGACCATTTCAATTTAAACAATTTGGTGGCATTCAGCACATTCACAATGTTATGCAACCACCACCTCTGTCTAGATGCAAACATTTTTTTTTTTCCTTTTTGTCTTTTTTGTGTCCGGCAACGGGACTGCAACCCTCGGTGTTGCGCCCGCACCTCGCTCAGCCAGTGAGCGGGAACCGGTCTGTATGTGGGATCCGAACCCTCG